AAAAAATAGTGTCGGCTTAGCCCCGGTCTCCCCTAATATATAAATATATATATATATATATATATATATATATATATATATATATATATATATATTTATATATTAGGGGAGACCGGGGCTAAGCCGACACTATTTTTTCAAAGGCAATTTTTAATATTTAATTAAAATTTTTAGGCAAATTCAATGATATATATTTAAAGAGTGTTTCTTCAGGTACAAAATTGATTCAGGAAGTTTTGCTGTACGTCGCTTTGTTTTGCCGCCAGGAAAGGAAAAGTGACGCAAAGACAAATTTTCGAATTGAAAAATGACGGGGCGAACTCGACACCCCGCCGGGGCAAACTCAACACTTTGTTTGATCGACACAATTTGATCTGGAACTTATTTTTTTATTGTTTAAAAATAAAAATACATTGTTTATCAAATGAAAAGACATTGTGTATTAGAAACAAAAAGTCGGAATAAAGTAAACAATTATTTAAAATAATGAGAAAAAAAAGATTAAACTTTTAATTATCTTTTTCTGAACTGTCTGAAAAACAATTTATATACGTAAACTCGCGATCAGATGTGCGCACACATTCGTCATGAGCTATACGGTTGCATAAGATGCATTGTTTGTTATTAGAAGCTAATAAAATGTTTTCCGAACACACGCAACAGATGTTCCTTAAATCGTCATCGGAATCGGACGAAACAGTGACCTTTTTTGCGATAATGTCACTTTAGGTTAGTGTCGTCTTTGCCCCGGTGGCGTCGTGTCGACTTAGCCCCGAACGTCGTTTTTTACTTTTGTTACTCCAAAAATATATAAATTTTAAAAATATGCAAAAATTATTATCGGATTCGTATAAAGCATCGAATTTCCCATCAAAATCACTTAGCGGTAGATTCGCAAGAGTAAAGCTCGATGAAAGAGTAGACATTTTCGAAAGATCAAAAAAATTACTTTTCACTATCAAAAACACTTATGTTGCGTTAAAAATTACACTATAACTCAGAATGTTACCAAATTCCGTTGATAATACTGGCACATAAAGACGCATTTACAGTAGCAAAGGCAAGTTTCTACGATAGATTTAAATTGGCAAAAAGCCTAGTGTCAAGTTCGCCCCGCTGTCGGCTTAGCCCCGGTCTCCCCTATAGCTATTTCAACTAGTTTACATAATATTGTTTTTTAATACAAAAACGAGCGATTTACTTTCAGGGCGGTATACACAGGTGAAATTGGCGCAGAACTTCGCAGAAGTTTTTGCTAAATGTCAGGCACAGCAAATGCAAGAAGTAATTAAAAAACAAATGGATATGTTTAATGAGTCCACACAGTCGCAAATGATATCTCAACGTCAGGAAACAGTGGGAAAAGGAAATGTTAGAGAAGGAGCATGAACATCAACTTTAAATGTTAAATAATTTTATGGCAGGAATGCAAGCAATGCAACATGGGAACAACTTTCAGCAACCATATCCATGCAATTTTCATGAAAATTATCCTCGTCCACCATTCTCGTCGACTCCAATTCCTTTTCATTCATCTACCCCATTCATAAATTCATGTGGCTTACCAGAACCATCTCCCCCAATATCAACATCAGCCTCATCGTCAATATACACAACTTCATCTTTACCTTCATTATCTTACGGACATACTTTTTAGACAAGTACTCCAATGTCTTCACTACAATTAACTTTGAGTTTATTTGATTTAAATAATATAAAGTAAATATACATGTATAAATAAAAAAACTATATTTATTGTATTCTCTGTTTATTTTAGTAACGTACAATAATTATCGTAACATACTTTTACGAAGCGGGTAATGCGTCGACAGGTAGTCTGTCAAATGCTGACGAATATGTGATCCAGTGATGTCGTCACGTTCCCGATTACCCATATCCATTGGCTGTTGATATATTGTGCTTCAGCCACATCATTAAGCCATTGCTGAATAAATGCTTCATTTTTTGTTTCTAACAAATTTTGCAAAATGCAACAAGCACTCGTAATGTTTGGAACAAACAAGTAATTAACATCAATTTTTTTTTAAAGTATTCTCCAATGTTCTTTCGACCGCCCAAAGGCCATTTCTATTGTAACCCTCGTTGAATTAAGATAAACATTGAAAGACTCCTGTTCGGCTGTAACCGTACCAGGTAGCTTTTCATTACCCATGGCAAAAGTGGGTACGATGGGTCTCCGACGATAAAATATGGTACTTCCAAGCCATTGATATTTCGCGTGTTCTAAAATATAAATTATAAAATAATATTCAGACATGTGATAAGGAATAATTAAAAAAATATATTAATTGTTATTTTACCTGTGGAATAATATTTTTAACAATCCTGTATAAATTGGAGTCTTTAAATACTGCAGCATTATGAGTATTTCTAGGGCGAATGCAAATTGTGCAATGCAATAGTGGCGAATACAAATATCTCTTTGTACATAAGAAGATTTATTAATTATGACCTGCAGTATCATCCTGTGATTAATATAAATTGTAAATAATACACACCTGCATTTGTCATCAACAACTGTCTGTAAATTAAAAGAAGGCCAACCCTTACGGTTAACGTAATCCCGATAACCCTCTGATGGTGCTAATATGGGTATATGAGAACCATCGATGCATCCGATAATTTGCGGTATGTGGGAAATTCTCTCAAAACGTGATGCTATTTCAGAAGCTTCAACTTCATTTGGCATTCGCAAAAAATCTGGCATTATCAATTCATTGATCGCATTTACAACTCAATACAAACATTTTTTTACAGTGGACTTATAGATGCCAAATATGTTTTCAACTACCCGATACTCTGCGCAACTTGCCATTTTATATAATGCAACAGCGACTTGTTTCTGAATTAATAACGGTTCTCTTGATTTCAAGAAAAGAGGCTTTGGCTCCAAATTCGATTGTAACAACGAACACAGATAATTAAATGTATCCTTTCGCATTCGAAAACTTTCTAACCAATCTGAATCAGTGTACGTCGTCAGAACAATTTCACTCCAAAAATGATTACTCCTCGGTTTCATCCATATACTTCTTTCAACTCTTATTGCGTTTAAATACGTTTCTGCTCGGGGGGGGGGGTGTAAGTCCGTCCCCGGATTCGCGAATTGGTCTAAA